CAGACTCCAACTCACTGTCCAATTTGTAAACATCCAGTAAAAGTTCTGATTTAATAAACTTTTCAACACTATTCATTTGTACACAAACAATGTATTCAGTGTAAATGACAGAATCAGGAGCAAAAGTACATAGCAATATAAAGCAAATAAAGATAAGACAGAGTTCACCACGGTTATATCACATTACAACCCAACAAGGCAAAATACACTAACTACCCAATGTAGCTGGAAAATGGCTTCAATATATTTTTAGGAAATTCAATTAAATTTTAGAAGACAGTAAAACAGTGTAGAAATATGCACAACAGAGAGCACCTGCAATCTCGGTCAACTCAATTTCTATAAAATCTGGAGTTTTTATGTTTTGCCTTTTATGGTAGAATAATACAAAGGCATGGTGGGGGGGGGGACTCTCAAATACATTTTTAAAATACATTTCACAGGCATAACTGATAGACAAACTGAACTATGCAGTTCTGATTGTGTATTTCCAGTTCATTAAAACACATTCAAAGATCTGATGCCACTAACCTGATAAACTTCTGCAAATCCAGTGATTATATCCTCCTCAGAAGCGCTAATTGTATCATTCCGGTTTACACACAAGTTCGTTGCTTGATGATAAACCACCTGCTGATGAAATCCTAACATATGCAGATCGATTCATTTACGATTTACGCAACTACTTCCGCTTTAAAGTCTGTGTTGCCAAGTCCGCGGGCTACTTTGACACTGTTGCCACAGGTTAAATTGATAGCTGTGGACAAAGTCCCTTTAAATTTCATATTTGAAATCACCAATGAAATCTGAGAACAACTGTCTCATAAATGTTGTTTCTTTTGCTCAAATAGCGTTAAAAAAGCTTATTTTTCAGGCTAGACCAGCCAGTGCGCATGCGCAGTCCTAAGCCTGCGTCTCAGAACGCTGTTCCTTTTATCAATTCTGAAGTATATAACGATACTGATGCGATGTCGAAAGTATCGATACTCAAATAAAAAAATAGATATTAAGGATTTTTATTTACCAGTGATTTTGTTTATTTAACAAAAAATAATAATACTAATGCATACAATATGCATTGAATTTGACGAATAACCTATGTTAGCGAATAATTGTGTAGGATCGAAGTATTTTCCTGCTCATGTGAACACACGCAAATGCTGCAAGACTGAACGTCTCAGGTTACTTATGTAACCATGGTTCCCTGCTTAGGGAACCAGGCTCACCTGAGCTGGAGGGTTTATGGCCAGAAAAATAACGTTCATCGAGATATTTCGCGACTTCACTTCCTTCACCCGCTTCACGGCAAGTAAAGCCTCGCTGTGGCGCGATCCATCATTTAATTCCAAAATATTTAAATAAATGTAAAAAAATAATAATAAAAAAATCCAACTAACTAAATTTGATTAAAAAAGTAGATGAAAAATTATTAAAATCAGAAAATCAATAAAAACTGATTAGAATAAATAAATTAACGATAAGATCGAACTAAATTATTAAAATATAAAATGATTTAAATTAATTATTGAAATAAAACAAATCTAACTAAATGTGATAAAAAATAAATGAAAAATTAATATGAGAAAATACAACAAAATTGATTAAAATAAATAATAAACATTAAGACCTAACTAAATTTGATTAAAATAAATGAAAAAATATTAAAATCTGAAAATAAATGAAAGCTGATTAGAATAAATAAATAATTAATAACAAGATCTAACTACATTATTAGAATAAAAATAAATTGATTAAAATATAAAATGATTTAAATGAAAAAAAAAATCGAACTAAGTTTGATTAAAATAAATGAAAAATTAATATGAGAAAATGAATACAATAAAACTGATTAAAATAAATGAAAAATTATTAAAATCAGAAAATGAATTAAAACTGATTAGAATAAATAAATTAACAATAAGATCTAACTAAATGATTAAAATATTAATGATTTAAATGAAAAATGTAAACAAAAAAATCTAACTAAATTTGATTAAAATAAATGAAAAATTAATATGAGAAAATTAATACAATAAAACTGATTAAAATAAATAATCAATAAGACCTAACTAAATTTGATTAAAATAAATGAAAAAATGAATAAAAAACAATAAGATCTAACAAAATAAATAGCTTAAAATTAAATATATAAAGAACAATTAAAATAAAAACAAATGCTTAAAAATTACAATAAAGTACGATAGTGATAGAAAAATATATAATAATGTAACATAACAGAATCTAAATATTTTCTAAAGAATATTTTACACATTTATATTAATTTTTCATAGCATAAAGTGGGCCTATATACATGACAATATATAAAAAAAATGTTACATTTTTTTTTTTTTTTACATTTTTAGCATAACATTTTTCCATTCATAAATCTGTCTACATCATTATTCCTGCAAAATCTGAGCGCAGTTAGACGCAGAGGGCAGGTGTTTCTCCAGCGAACACTTCAACTATCCAGCAGCGCCAGATGAAGACGGTTTCAAACCCAAAACACATACACAGAGCAGATCAGATCACAACCTGCAGCCCATAAGAACGTTTCCGCTGGGAATTATCATCTGTGCTTAGAGAAACCAGAGAAGCTTTATTCTAATGTAACTATATCCCAGTTTACAGTGAGAGAGAGAAACGCAGCACATTTCTATAACTATTAATCATTTACAAAACAATTGCTTGCATTTTCGGCTTTGCAAGTTTGTGACATTATTAACTAACTGCTGTAATGTGTTTTTCACTTTAATGAAAACTTTATGAATAACAAAAGCGCATGAGTACTAAAACTTAAAAATTAAAAGAGAAAAATTGCTTTCATTAAATGAAATAAAACCTAAATATTAGATGAAAATTGTAACTAATTATGGGTCAAAGACGTTAAGATGTCCGCATCAAAAGAAATTGACAAAAGTGATTATATGTCCACAGAAAGCACATTAAATGTAAGTAAAGTGTCTACTTTTAAGGTTTTGGAGAATCAAATGTTCAAATTTGGTTGAAATAATGTTACAGTCATTCAGTGTAACACAATATTTATGTAAAAATTCAAACAACATGCTTATTCTGACGTGTGCATATTAAAATATATATAAAAGAATAAGTGAGCATATTAAATTGGATTGTGTTTTAAATGAGTCAAAATTCTTACTGACAAATGGGCAAAACCTAGGATAGTGGCACATTTAAAAAATGTACAATTACAACTAATTAGCATTTGGGGTCAAAGTAATTAGTCTTTTAATATGTTATAAATTGATTTTTTTGTTGTAAATATACCTGACAAGATTGCTACACTGAATGACATTTAATGGGTCTCTTCTGTAAATCAGGGGAAATGTATGATATTTATTTTTTGCTCTGAAAAACAAAAACAAAATTGCAATTAAATTAAACTGAAAATGTGTAATTTTTCAACAATAACAACAATTTAAAGCAGTATTACCCTTACTGTTTTATGCTTAAACCCTTTTTCGTCTTTGACCCATATAAGTGTTGCAACTAACTTAAAATAAGTTTTAATTGAAGTAATAAAATTGCTAAAACTAAATAAAATCTAAATATTTTTAAAAAGACAAAAAAAAGCACATAAAATGAACACAAAAATAAAAGCTAATTATATGAATAAATACCATAATAGTATTTATAGCAACTATTAATCATTTTAAAATAATTGTTTGCATTCAAAATTTAAATATTTTCATTGCTGTAATGTATTTTTCACTTTAAAGAAAATTAGTTAAAAAAAACTGCAGAATTTATTTTTATTTTAACTTAAATTAAAAAAATATATCGTTTTTAATGGAAATAAAGCTGAAATAAAAGAAAATATAAATATTGGATGGAATTTTAAATGAAAATTAGAAATGTTTCCTTGACAACTAACTGAATATAAGTTTTAACAGAATTACTAAAATTTCTAAAACTGAAAAAAAAAAATAATAATTATATATATATATATATATATATATGGTATTATTTGATACATTGAAATCTTGTGTAACTTTATAAAAGTCTTTACTGTGACTTTTGATTAATTCTAATTCATCCTTCCTGAAAAAAGTACTAATTTCTTTCAAAAATTATATATGTAAAATGGTTACCATATTAACAGTATGCTTTTTACACTGGACAAAATAAATAGTAAAAATATCATGTTACTATTGTGGTATTTAAATTCTACTCATTAGGATGGACAAACAAAATAAACATACAACATTGATAAAACATACACCATATCACCATCACTGTAGTGTCTAAAAACCATGATTCCATAAATTATTTTGTATACTTCTCTATTGGTCTATTGGTAGAAAATGGTTATTTTGCTGCTAAACTTATGGGATTGTGTGTAAAACAGGTCAAGATCTGGTTCCAGAACCGCAGAATGAAGTGGAAACGCAGTCGTAAGGCTAAAGAACAGGCCGCGCAGGTCGAGGTCTATATATATAATAAGCACATGACAAGATGACTAACTTAAAACGAAAAATATAAAAATTAAAGCTAATTTAATATTAGCCATATAATAGTAATTATTGTAGTTATTAATCATTTTCTAAATAATTGCTTGCATTTTAAAGCTAAAACTGAAGTTTTGGGCTTTGCGAGTATGTTTTCTCATTTGTGACTCTAAACAACAATCAAACGAGCTACTTGTATTACTTCTGGTTCATTTGTCATTTATACCACACATTTTGGCTAAAATAGTAGTTTATCTGAATACCGAGGAGAACGTGCAACCACATGCACATGATATTTAACGTAGTGAACATGTAGCGAGTTATATTTTGTAATGTGCCATTATAAACACATTTTGAAAAAGTTGTGAATGCTTGTGTTGAACTGTCTTTGCACAGATGCGTCTCTTCCATTCAGACTACTGTGAATCTCAACTGAAGTTTATAATAATCTGTGTTTGCACTGCCTCCTAGTGGAGCAATCATGACATGACCAGCACAGTAGAAATAATGTGAGCAAGACCACATTCTTGATTAAAGTATTTAATGAATACAAAAAAGGAAATTATCGTTTAAAGTTCAGTGCATAAAAATTACAAATGTGCCCAAAACACTTTCATACTCAAAACGATTCATAAACGAAAACATCTGATTACACTGCAGATAGATCTAACATATGATTAACCACTAAGTGTGAGGAAAATATCCAAAAATGACACTTTAAAGAAACTGCCTTGTGTTTGTGTCTGTAACATATGAACCGATGACCTTTATAACTCGCTTTATCAGTAAAATATTACACTTGTAATTTGATGTTTTCATTTGTATTCAAAGATCTGTGATTGCTACAAGAAAAATCATGTTTGGAATCAAATTAACACCTCTTTCTTTATATGAACTATGAAACCGCAAACTATGAACAGACAGAGAGTGCAGTGATCGGGACGACTGTGCAAGCAAACACAGGAGTGAACGCGATCAATAAAAGACCAGAGACCTGAAGATCAGCAGGTTTCACTCCACGTCATCTTCCTCCAGACCCGGAGAACTCACTATGCGCTGTGAACAGGGACAATGATCACCGTTAAAGGAGCAGTTCACCCAAAAATAAACATTTGCTGAAAATCTGCTCCCCCTCAGATCATCCCAGATGTAGAGGAGTTTGTCTCTTCATCAGATTTGGAGAAAGGGGGAGCAGAATCAGTGTCTCAGCAATGGCGTGAATGGGTGCCGTCAGAACGAGAGTCCCAACAGCTGATAAAAACGTCACAATAATCCACAAGTAAAGTCTATAATCCATAATAGCGCTTCCTGCAGTGAGAAAGTGCATCTCCTGTTGTCTCTCACATCAAAATCCAGCCACATATTAGTTTAGAGCCGTTTAAACGGTGCTTGATCTGTGCAGATTTCTCTCCTGATTCACACCAGAACACTTTCTCACTGGAGGAAGCGTTATTATGGATTAT